AGGTAGTGACATCACCACTAAGGTTGGCTTGCACACAGTGGACTTGCACGCCGGCTGCTGGAGGAGAAAGAAGTGAAAGGGAACACAGGCAAGGGAAGCATAAGGAAGTCGAGGATGTGCTTTGCAGAGACGATGTCACTTTGGGCAAGGTGACAGTGTCTCTTTAAAGTAATATTATAAGTCACAAGGTTTTAAAGCAATTGCAAATGCTGATTAAAACACTTAGAATGGATGCTGCTCCTTGATGTTTAAAAGTTTCCTGCAGAATCAGCTGGTCCCCTGAACACTGGTCCTGATATCCTGATTTAGGGTAACTCCTTTCCCTTGCAGAGTCCTATGGAGTCACCCTTGTGTGTGCAGAGAAGCCATTCCCCTCCTCCCTGCCCCCCCTTCCCTATTCTTTTCTCCAAGCTGGTGGATGGACAGCTGATGGAGACAGTGCTGTCCTTTGCCATCTTGTACTGGAGAGGAAATTCAGGGGAGCTGAGCTGATTGAGCTGGAGGAACATGTTTGGAAACATGATGACTAAGTGCTTGGGCAAAAATGTAAAGAAATACTTTTCTGGACAATGTGTATTTAATCTGGATTCATTATTGAAAAAGAAAAAAAACTTTGAGAGTTTAACACTACTTTAGGTAAACCTCACAAGGTCTTGCTCCTTCCCCGGCCGGCCAGGTGTCTGGACAGTGAAAGGAGAAGCAGCACACGGATTGTCTCATCTCTCTGCTTTCTCCTGCTATCAGGATGTCCCTTGTTTTCACTGCAGCACAACTAACTGGCTCCTTTCACTGTCACCTCTGTTGTACATGGACTGCAAGAGGCTGATAGCAGTTCAAAGCCAGGTACTTACATTTAGAAATCTGTCTATTAATGACTTCAAAGCTGCAATCATTTGTGTCTGGATTTTGGCTTTAACAATAAGTTCCCCTTTGCAGTTATATATATACAAAGCATTAAACAGAACACTCATTCCTTTTTAAGCTTTAGAATAGCTAGTAAAGACGTTGGCTCTGCTGAAAGCTTCTTACCATTGATCAGGAGGAAAGGATGTACCAGATAGTGTTCTGAGCTCGGTTCATAACCTTTGGGGACGGTATTTTGCAATGCGCTGGTTTGGAAACAAGCTTATAGGGAACATTTGATTTTCTACAGTCCTCCAATTCAGGAAGCTGCAGAATGTTCCTAGATGAGCAGATCATGAAAGGTTGTGTTATCTACAGTTTCTATCAACAGACTCTGCTAATAGTCTATTTTCTGACTTTCCCTTACTGCACCAACCTCTAATTAGATCTGGAATGTTATAAATGTGATTAGCGGGCACCATTAGGGCTTATTATATATCATCAAGCTTTGTTGTTGCTCCGAGTTCATGTTTACCGCAAACGTTGCCTGTCAGTTTTCACAAAATAATTCTTCTCTGCAGCTGAATTACCTCCTCCGTACACAGCCATTGCCAGCCCAGATGCCAGCGGAGTTCCCGTAGTAAATTGCCGTGTGTGCCAGTCTCTTATTAATTTGGATGGAAAGCTTCATCAGCATGTCGTGAAGTGCACAGTCTGCAATGAGGCCACGGTAAACAATATTTCTTATGATGATGATCGAATTCAAAGGAAGTGGGAATATTTGGTGGTGGTCGGGGATCGGGGGGGGGTGTTATGTTTGTTTCTTGCTGTTAAATTATTGAATGGGATGTTTAATGTCATTTATAACTCAGGGACCCAATAAGTGGGAGTATTAACAACTAATCTTAGCCAGAACTTATTTTTACAGATATATAAAATCAAAGAGATCCAACTGAGAGATTAAAGCTGGCCATACATGGAAGGAATTCTGGTTGGTTCTTCGCTCAGTGGATAGATGGAAAGATTTTTTGGCTGAACATCGACCAGCCAAAAACTTCGAGTGTATGGCCAACTTAAAGCACAACTCCAGCCAATCAGATCTTAACCCTTTCAGTGGTGCTACCCCCCGCACTGCAAAGGTTAAGCGTTAGTTTTGTCTCGGGAGCTAAAATAACAGTTATACCTGAACGACGAATCCCGGCTTGCTACTAGACCGGTGCCTTCAGCTTCCCCACTCTCCAGCGGTCTAATGTCCTGTGAGTCACCACATTCTATACCGTGTATAAGACGCAGAGGGAGTATATAAGGAGCCAGCCGGGATCATGGTTCAGGGGAGTATAACTTATTTTAGCTCTCTAGACAAAACGAGTGCTTAACCCTCACAGTGCTGGGGTAGCCCCACTGCAAGGGTTACCAATTGATTTGCCCAGAGTTCTTCTTTAAGACCTCTCATAATGAAAGCTGAAGGTACACTTAGACCCCATTCACACCAAGGCGACAGCGTTTCAGCGCTTTTTTTTTGAGCATTTTTTTTGCACATTTTACAGGCGTTTTCTGTTATATGTAAGAGCGTTTTAAGGCGCGTTTTCAACTCGTTTTCAGTTGTCCAATGAAAAGCAGTCTCGGCTGCAAAAACGCGCTAAAAAAAGCATGTTTCCATTGAAGTCTATGGAGCTAAACAAGCTGACAAGCACCACAAAAGAAGCTCATGGACTATTTTAAACAATGGGTGTATTTGTACATGCGATTTCAGCGCGTTTGTTTGAACGGCCTCCATAGGAATACATGGGATTTTGATTTGCATGCGTTTCAGCGTGGAAAAAAAGCGCAACGAAACGTCCTGGTATGAATGTGGCCTTAGATGCACTTTGCGTATGAGAATACCTTTTGGTTTGTAGGAGTGGATTTGTGCTAGCGATGAGACCGCTTTCTAAGTTAGCACAAGCTATTTCCCACCATTGGCAACTGCATTGATCAGGAGGTTTACGGTGTTGCAAAATGATCATGGACTGGTGGGTAAATTTACATACATGATGCAGTCTGTCACTAGATGTAAAACATCAGTTTTTGTTTTTTTGGAGTCGCCCGTAACAAAGATTTTATTACCTGTTGATACTTCCGCTAGATCCATTATTTTTCCACTTTTTAAACACTGTTTGCCCTGCAGTAAGACCAGCTGCCTTGTCCCCTGTGAAACATGGTAGGCTTTTGTGGATGTGTAGTTTCAATGGACTTAAAGGAGAACTATGGGGTTAAGGCTTTTCCCCATAGTTCTCCTTAGGGTAACGGGAGGACACAAACTAGCGTCCTCCCATCACCCTAGGCTCAGTATACCGCGAGCTGAGTTTTGCCTGAGGAAGCTTCCAAAAGGTCGCTTGTGATTATGCGACACTTTGTAGTCAATAAATATTGACTTGTATTTACGCTGGAGTGCTAGTGACTTCTCTTTACCTTGATTCATACACAAGGCTTTTTTTTCTTCTATTCCGTGAGTGTTTTAGCATTGAGTGAAGGTAGGTATGAGCTGTAGCAGGGGGCAGTATTGATGTCAACATGATGCTTTATCTTGCATGGGTAAAGTTCATTTTCAGGTATCTAATCGTAAGAAGATTTGCCTTGATTTGCCTGCTAGTTACAGGTAGATCGAGCAACAATCATACACGTTCAGGCCCCACCGAACCACAGTCATTTTCTATTCTTGAAGAACGTATTCAAAGGGTAGGATGGATTTT